CTATTCTTATAGTTACTGTTATATAGAAGGATACTACTATAATAAATAAATATTAATAATTTTTATAGTGATATACTGATACTTAAGATTTTATATAGCTAAGTCTTATATATTCTTCAGCTATAGGGCTGCGTAAGTAGAGAGAAAATTTAAAATAATAAATAATTTAGACAATTCTTAATTAGAACATCTTCCTAAATAACTATAGTAGATTGAGGAGGGCTAGATAATGGTAAACTTTTATAGTATTTAGGCAGCTAGATAAACTATAACATGAGTATATTTCTTCCATATTTCTGATGAGGGTTAAACCTTTCAAAAAAGATAATATTATAAAAGTATTGATATCTAGTATAGTATTAAAGTATCTACCTATACTGAGGAATTAGTTCTTATTATTTTCATTCTTTATTTAGTTTTTGGGGGGGAATGATCTATAAAAATCTTGAGATTATAGGATGGAAAGTTATGGCTTAAATAAGTTATTTCCACAAGATATTAGACTTATATAATTATTTAACTAAAAAAATAACTAAATATAGTATTATATAGGGTGACATAGATAAAGCTAAACAATACTTGATAAATTAAATATTATTTATAAGATATTTGAGAGTTTGTATAGCAGCTGAGACAATAAAATTACTATATAATATTAGTATTATGCTGGTATTCTTTACATCTGAAAGTTTATTATAACTAAATATTTAATCATTTTTTAGTCATATTTAGTATACTATTTAAGTGGCTCTTCTTACTATTATTCTTCTTTTTTCTTATTTTTAATCCTTGAAAGCCTTAACTCTAATCATTATTATCTTTAAGATTATAGTAAATCTTTAAGTTGGTCTTTTTATAATTAACTAGAAGAAGCTTAGTGCGGGTAGTTCTAATTAGAAATAAATAATATAAAATATTTACAATGTTATATTCTTTGGACAATGCTTTAAAATATTTTTCTTTGTTATAGTCTTCAGTAGGCTTAGATTGGGTAACTAGAATCAATTATTCACGTGAAAACTTATTATTATTTTTTATCTTATTCCCGCTACTGGTAATTCTAAGAATGTTTTATAAGTATAAGATTATTATAGCTTTACTAAATACTGGATTATCTATAATTTTCTTGTAGAATTTATTTAGTTAGAATATTATTTTATCCTACACAAAGCTCCTAGAAAGTATAGAATCTAAATAGTGATAAAACTATTCTTGATTCTCAGGTAATTTTGAAAATATCAACCAGACTCTTAAAAGGATCTGGAAAATTAATATGGTTTTAATAAAAATTATAATGTACTTTTGGGCAAGTACATCGAGGTTGTCTATCTTATATTTTTTAGTAGCTTAGTAAATCTGGATACTTCTCTTATACTTAAATTTAATATTATATAACTCTATTTAGGTTTCTGTATAAAGACTGTTTCATATTTTCTTTTATATGGGAAATGTATGATAGTGTAGCTAACATCCGCGTTAATCTCTAATTAAAATACGTGGATTTTAAGACTATCTAGCTTGGGCTAGCAGATGCCCTGGTATATAATTTTCTAGAATAGAATATTTCTTATTTCTAATAGTAATAATAATAATCTTTAATTATTTATAGGGACTATGATAGAGGCAAGAGGATTATTATATATTATTAAAGATAGAGTATAATTATTTTATAATAATTTTAGCTAGTCGTAATATATTGCTGAGCTTTTTATAAAAGCTATAGATACTTTTTTCTTAAATATTAAGTTTTTTTTATTCGTGGTTGGTTGGAAGTTTGGTTATAAATAGAAAAAAAGATATAATTTAAGTAGAGCTTTAAAATAAAGGATTTGAGAATAATTAGACACGTGTAGAGGCCAACTCCTTATAATTATAGAATTTAGGAGATTAAAGGTTCTAGTTATCTAATTTATTTAATCTAGTGCTAAGACCTCTCCCTAAGAATCACACAGGAGAATATTGCGATAATATAAAGTAAAAAATAGGACTAGGTATTTTCTAATAGGCTGTCTTAATATAGACATGCTATCTGAGTAATAGATACTTCTTATATGATAGTCTTACTAATATTCTAGTATTCTTTGTAGAAGAGGTCTCTGACTCGAAGAAGAGTATATGTAAGTATATTTCTAATATATTATATTAAAATAAAAAAAGACTGAAGGATATTTATTATAAGTACTAAAGTAGTATAAGAAAGAGCTAACTCTATTTAGTAATTAAAATACCTTACTAGAAACCTGCTGAACTAGTAATTATATTTATATATTTTAATCTTCTACTAGTTTAAAACAGAGGGAATGCTATATATAGATTTTTTATAATTAAATTCTTAGCCTGAAAGTTATAAAGGTATATAAAATATATACCCTCTATATAATATAATTATTTCTTAGCATGTTATTGAGACGGCCATTCAACACAACAAAATGAGGTCGTATTGGTGCTAACTACTCTAGAACTTTAAGCGTAAGGGGGAAAATAGAAAACAGGAAGTGTTATAGGTACTTACTTGAAGAAAATGATAGTAAAATAAACAAAATAAACATGGTTATATGATTTTAAATGAGGCTACCATTATATCACTCTCTTATTTAGACCTGACTGCTCTCAGTTAGAAAGATATTATTATTATTATAATCTGCAGCGAATTTATTATTCTCCGTGGCTATGATCTATATAGGAAGTTATTTAAATAGTCTAAGATAGTCTGGATAATAGATATAAAAATCACGTAAATAGAAAGATACATTCTTAAAGTTATTAATAGGATACTATTTATAGTTATTTTTATTAGAATCTATTTATTTAACGTGGTACTACAGAGTTCTTGTTTATAGGTAGCTCTTTAAGATCTATTCTATTTTTTACTTGGTATAATTATCAATCTTAATTAAAGAAGTCTAGTCTAAGATCTATCTAGATAGTAGCTCTAAAGTACTGCAAAGATAGAGTTTATTAGAATAAAAGATAGAATAGATTTTTATATTATCAAATAATTAAATTTAGAATATATAACTAATTTTCTTAGTAATAGTTACTAGGCTATACTAGTTTTTTAATAATTTCTGGAAGGGTTATCTCTAATATTAATTTTTAATATCTATATAAATCTTATCTCTAACATTAAAATTTACGGATTAATACTGTTGGTTAACTATATAGATCTAAATTTATTAAATAATTTATATATCTTTCTTTATTAGCTTCTATATCTGTTTTATATAGTGAGCTAGGGCTTAGATTTGTTATTAATTAATAATATTTATAATAGAGGTTTGGGGAGGTGTTTAATTAAAGAAAATATAAGATTTATATCTTTATTTAATTATAAAGGATAATAATCCTGTAGATTCCTGGGACAAGACTGTAAAAATAAAATTAATTAATAGTAAGAGTTCTAATTAGTTATTTTAATAATGATTTATAAAAAAAATAAATCTTTGTGCTGTGTATTAATTTATAATTTTAATTTATTTATTAATTTAAAAATAATATATTATTAAAAGCTTGAATTTTACTTACAGTATATAGTATAACTTATTCTAGAATTCTAATATAAATTATTTTTTTAATCTGATATAATTATATCTAGAAGTCCTGACTAAGAGTATATGTATTCTAGAAAAAACTAAGCTATATTTTATATAAATATAGTCTTTATATATAGTATTAAAATAATCTGTTTACTCAGGTGGTCCACGACAATAAATATAATATTAAAATTATAATAGTTTTTTAAAAATATTTAGAAGGTTATTAATAAATGCTATCCTGGGTAGTCTAAGATTAGTAAAGATTATAGAAATTTTAAAAAAAAATTCTATTATATATTCTTCTATTTATAAATTAAGTAATTATTTAAGTAATAATATATATTCTAATTCTAGATATTCTAGTAGTATTAGTATTTTATAAGATCTAGTATCTTTATTCGACCTAGATATATAAATAATAATTAATAATAAATTTTATCTAGTAGTTAGGTGCGTAAGTCCCCATTATCTAGGATTATTAATAAATTATTAAAGAATAAAAATCTATTTTCTATAGTATATTTTTTTTACTGTGATAGGTTCTTTTCTAATAAAATTCTAGAGAAAAATAATTCTAATTAACTACTAAAAATTAATTTATGATCTATAGATGTTCCTATACGGGGGCGAGAATAGTTAGAGATTTAGAAATAGTTAAAAAAAATATATTCTATTTTTTAAGTACTCTAGGGGTAATAGGATTTGTTTATAGTATTATATTAAATCTTACTTACTATTATTTTTATAGATTAATATATTTATTAAAATATTATGCTTCCCAGGATGGAATTAGATTAAAAAATAATATTAAAAAAGAAACTTAGCCTATTATGTTTAATAAATATTTAGTCTTTTAATAGTTATAAAATACTCTAAGGCTTGGTAGTTAGTTAGGATACTAAAATAATTTATATATTAAAATCTTTTTAATTCTAGTTATTATTTCTCTAAAGTATAAATAATCACTAGTAGTTTTTTATTATAAATATCATAGTTATATTCTGTAGAGAATATAATCTTAAAAAAATAGTTTACTAGATATTAAGCTCTATTTACTAGTTATAAGAGTATCTTTATAATAACTTTATTAGTGGCATCTGTTTTAACATAAATAAGAAGTGTGGGATTGTAATAAGTGAAAATAAAAATTAAAATTAGTATTTTCTTAAATATCTTGAAAGCTTTGGTATAGATATAATTTTAGTTAAAAATAATATTTTTTTAAATTAATTATATTAAAGGCTGGGTTATTCTACTATAAGTTTTAATAAATCTTTAGTAGAAGTTGTAAAAATTTAAAAATAATTAAATTTTTTATATAGTTATTAGAGTTACTTATTTAATAATAATAGTAATTTTTAATAGATTCACCCGGATACTATTAATAGTAATAATAAATTTTAAGAACTTAGTCTTTATAATATGGAACTTATACTTATAAATAATAGTCTATAAGCCTGTAGCTTATAGTTTTTTAAATATTAAATATATATATAATTTATATTTAGTTATATTATTACTACAAATTAACACATCATTAATATAGACTATAATAAACTTATTTAAATACTCTATTAAAATTTCGTTAATGAGCGGTTGGAAGACAGTAGGTCTATTAATAAATTTAAATAAAAAAACTTAATACTTGAATAGGCTATATTATATTTTAAAAATTATAAAATCCTCTAAAGCTAGATTTATTCTAATCTAGTAGAAACTTTAATATATATTAAATTTAATAAAGATTCTTGTATTGCGCAGGCAGTCTATTATTTTATTAATAAAAAATAAAAAATATAGATTCTTCTTAGTTAAAATATTTAGTTTTTAATAATTTATATAAAAATAGAGACCTTCTCTAGACTTTCAGGCCATTAGGATAGGAGATATAAAAAATATAAAATTTAATATAATAAATTTTTTAGCTAAATTTTTTATAATATAATTATAGAAGGCTTGTAGCTCTTCCATTATTATCTTATAAAAAAAATAATACTTAGAAAATTATCATTCTCTAACTAAATCTTATAATTATAGTACTAGAATAGAAATAATATATCAGACTTCTTCTTAGAAAAGATATCTACTAGATTATAATATTACTTAGGAAGGATTTTTTTAATTTTATTTTTTTTATTTATATATAAAATTTCTAGTTTCTCTATGAGAGCTTTTTTAATAGTATTAAATAAGATAATAAAGGTCTCTATCTCTAAGTATTTTAAATATTATTAGAAACCAGCCATTTTAATAAAAGCTATTTCTTTATAGGGGAGTCTGATCGGGACAAGCTTTAGTTTAGACTTTAAAATTCTAGAAGAAAGATAGTATTAATAATTTTTTTTATTTAAATTATATTTTATTTTTGTCAGGACCTTGTACAGGTTATTTTAATTAGTATAGAAAAAAATTAATAATAGTTATAAAGACTTTAACTATTTATCTTCTAGCTATATTTTATAATCCCTTTAGACTATATTTTATTAATATTTATAATCCACCGGAGACCACTCCAGGATAGTCTAGGAAATATTTATAAAAAATCTAGTTTTTATCTTATTTTTTAATATTAGCTGGCTCGGCTAGATTAATTAATAATTCTAGTAATCTAGTAAGATATTATATTTAGTAAATTATATTTTTTTAAGAATAGTATCATGCTTTTCCAGGTCTAGTATAAAAAAAAATTTAAGAATTAGCGGCTGTTGACTATAAGATTTAATTAGATTATATATATTAGATTAATAATCTATTTTCTATTAAAATTTATAATTAGGGTTGCTTTTTTTACAAATAGTATTAAGATTTTAAAATATTAAGTTAATTTAATAATAAATTAAATATCTATTACTGAGTAGGTATTAGTTCTAAAATTAGTAAGTATATAAATAGGAATAACAATACTATTTTTAAAGAATAAAATAATGATTATAAAACTATTACTATTATTTTTTAGTAGATTTTATAAATCTACTATACTTACTTAAACTTTTAGCTCGTCTAGAATAGAGATTTTTTCTAGATATTATTTTTTATTGATTTAGGTTTCTCCGTAGAAGCTTCTAGAGTTTTTATTTATATAGTTTTCTTAAGATATTTTTTGCTTTTATAATCAGGCTCCTTATAGTAAAAATATTTTTTATTTTTTATTAAGGTTTTTCTAGTCTCCAGCTTTATATTTAAAGTATAAATTAAAGTTTTAGAAGCAGCGTTCTCAGAGTTTAGAATATTAAAAAAGGTATAAGAATTGCGGGATTCACTATAACTACTAATAATAATAGTATTATTTCTAGTATAACTTTTTATTAGATTCTTAATTAAATTAGTAGAGTTTGTATACTTTTCTATATAATTATTAAAAGAGTAATATTTATTGTTAAAGCTATATATAATAGATTTCTTTAGTTTAGAAAGTAGTTTATTATATAAATTTCTTTTTTAGAAGTTTTTACTAATTCCAGCTTCCACCGCGAGATAATAGAAAGTAGAGATAAAAGTATAAAATTTTTTTTTAATTTTTATATATAGGTTCTGGTACTGATAGCAGGTATTATAGATTTTATAAGAATTAGTAAAGATAGTTTTTAGATATTTTAGTATATTCTTAGTATTGTTGTAAGGATTAGTCGTACTTAAATAAAGTTTAAATATTAAATATCTTCTTATATTACTCTCATAATAACTAGTAATATAAACTTTATATATTACTAGAATAGTAAATTAGTTTATATTAATTTTTAGCTTTTAATGTATAGCCAGCACCTAATCTTTAAAAGAGATATTTTTTTTATTATTGAATAGAGATAGATTAGAGATCTTTATTATTTTTTTAGACTCGGAGATAGTTATATTTTAAGAATTAATTAAAGTCTAATAGGTAACCTACACTGTGAAAGTATTTTATTTTCTAGTAATATTATTCTATTTTTTAATAATATTATTTTATTTTTAAGTAAGAGCAGTTATTTCCTAGCTTTATTAGTCTTATTTATTAAGGAGCTTGTCTCTTTTAGCTTCCAGAGTATTAAAAATTTTTAGAAAAATTTTAAAAATCTACTTCAGATCTCTCTTATATTAGTTATCGAATTTAGTTTAATTAAACCTATTTTTCTAGTCTGGTTCATCAGGCAGTATTATGGAAAGTTATCAGTTATTTTTAAGACTAGGAGTCTAGCTACTTTCTCTAGCTATTTTATTTATTTATTTGGTTAGGTGGGCCTTTTAGCTGTTAGGTGTTATTAAGAATGTAAGATAAAGATTACTAATAGTTTAGTAAGAATCAGCTATATATAGTAGTAAAAAAAGAATCAAGAATAATATTTAAAGTTATAAAATAGCTGTTTAATATAATAAAATAAGATTGTATTAGTGCTAATTACTCTAGAACTTTAAGTGTAAGGGGGAAAATGGAAAATAGGAAGTATTATAGATATTTACTTGAAGAAAATGATAGTAAAATAAATAAAATAAATATAGTCACATGATCCTGAATGAGGCTGCCGTCACAGTTATTATTATTGAAGTAATATATATACTTTACAGGATTTTTTAATATAAATATCACACTTGAATAACTTGTGAATAAGATAAATTAACTAATATATATAATACATACAGTAAGCAGATAATAGAATTTAAGCTTATAATAATATTAATAGTAGTAGGATAATTAACCGCAGTACATGCAAAAGATACCTATAATTTTAAATTACTGTAAATCTAAGTTAAATAGTATAATCACTTCTTCTAACTAATTAAGATCAAGTAAATTGAGATGTTACCATAGAAAATCATATTCTAAATAGAAATAATGGAAAGATCTATAATCTAATAAAGCTATTATACTTATACTAGTAACTATATTTATCTTCTAACTATTTAGCAGAGTACTGGATAAATAGATATTTTAGTTATATAATTTACTATAGTAAAGTTAATGCTGGCTCCAGACATAATATTATACAGGAACTTAAGATTGGGAATTCTTTAAAGAGATTATAAAATAGGTCTTATATTTAGAGTTTTTTTAAATAATATATAGCGTACTAAGCTAACTAGTCTAATCTTATCTATAGATAAGATTTAGTGGATGTCTTTAACTATATATAGAAATATAATAGATTAAATTTTTCTAAGAGTATGTTTTAAAAGAAAATAATATTATTTTTATAGAGTTTTATTTCTATTTTTTTTCTCTTTATATTACTTGTGTAAGTAGACTTAGTATTATAAATTAAATATAATTATCTAATTTATTTTTAGAAGATATTATTGAATTCTCTTCCTCTATATTCTAGATCTTTAAAAATCGGGATGATTTATAAATAAAGATTAGTTTTTTAGTTTATACTTTTTCTTTTTTTTTTGAATCTTGACTTTAAGTGTATTATAGAATATTAAAAGATTATTTTATATTTAGTTCTTTAAGAAAAGGTTCCTATCTTCTATGAATAATAGTAAGTAATTTCTTTTAATTAAACTTATATTTAAGTCTAGAAACTGCTATTTTATTTTAATTAGGAAAAGACAGTAATAGTATAGATTTATTTTTAAGAATATATATTATTTCCAGATAGAATCTTTTATATTTACTGTATTATATACTTATATATTTTATAATATTTAGAAATTGATAACTCAGGGACTAGTTCTATGAGTTATTATTTTTATAAGAGCTATAAGAAATAAATATTTTTAAATATTTTTAAGTAAATAATTAGATAGATGCTGGTTAAAGGATTTTTATAGGTAAGTTTATATTTACTATATTCTCTATAGTATTTATTTTAAAATTTTATTTTTGGTTGGGATTCTGGGGCTTATAATAAATCTATTTTTATTAATATTAAAAAATATTTTTAAGTTTCTATAGTCTACAATAAAAGGGAGTTTCTTGATTAAGTTCTATATTTTCTTATTATTTGTTGTCTGCTATTTCGAACTATTAAATATATTTAATTTAAATAAATAATTAATTTTACTGTTTTAGTGTTCTCCTGAAAGCTTAGTATTCTTTATTATATATAAATTAAAGATTGTTTTCTAGAATTGTTAGAAGAGATATATATTTATTTATTATTAAAGTTTCTAGACACGGGGCGAATGTTGATTATAATTAATTATTAGACGAGTTTAGATTAAAAAGTATTTTTTATTTTGATTGGATATTTTTTTATAGAAGAGATAGATTACTATAAAATTTTATTAGGTTTTTAATTAGTATCTAGATTCTATACTGGTAAGAATCTAGTTAAGATTATCTTAAAAGTTTTATAGAAATATAGACTTATTTATTGATTGCTGGGTATGACTATTAATAATATAAGTAATAATAATATAATATTTAATACTATTATATTATAATTCTGGACTTAGCTTAGTTAGAGTATTTATTTTTATAATATTTTAATAGACTCTGATTTTATAAAGATTATTTAAAACTAATATTATATCCTCTGCCTTATATTATTTAATTTTTTATAAATATTTTTCTTCTGAAACTTTGTATTGAGATTATAAATAATACTATTAATTGTATATAAAAAAATAATAATAGGAATCTAGAAGTTTTTTCTAGTATTTTTTAGATAATTAAAAAGATATGTATTAGGATAGTCTTTTATAAAGGACTTTTATAA